TATAAGATTTTTGGAAACTTAACTGAGTGGGCAACTTCTGAATAAGTTCTAGAAAAGTGTTTAAGAAATTCCTTTATTTAAGTTTAATATTGTTCTTCTATAAGCTGCATAAACATTCCTGCAAATTCTATTTTAGGATAATTGTTTTATAAATGATGAATTTTTGATTTCCCCTATGATTTATGTTATTGCTAAGCAATGCTTGAAGCTGATATATGACAAACAATATTACTTTTCAAAATCAGTTTAATTACTAAATTCTATGTTGATATAAAAATTTTAATGCAATGTCTCATATAAGGAGGAAATGATAATAAAATTTGGGGAATGGAAAATGATAGTTGAATAGTATTCAAAAATGAAAATTTTGAAATTGTTTTTTGGCTCCATACACACTTGATTTTAAGGAGGGAGACTAAATTCAGCATGCTAGATACTAAAGGTAGTTCGGTTAGCCCTCGGTGAGCCATGGTACACTTAGCTAGTTGTATGCTTGCTAGAGGTGCTAGCTCCGTACAAAGGCTAATGCATGTGGATTTGAGGGATGGTAATTCTTGAGTATTATACTCACGCTTGTTTTTGTGGGCCTCGTGCCTGCACTTAAATCGTAGCTCCTGGCCCCTTGTTTCATGACTTTTAGCTGTGCTTGATTGGTTACTTACTCTCGTAGATTGTGTGTCTATACTTGATTGATTATTTACCCTCATGAACTGTGTGTCCATAATTGTTATTCATTCTAATAAAACGCTCCTATATTAGATTTAAAACTTATCATTTTATATTACTTTCTTTAAAGGAATTTTTTTTCTTAATTGCACCATTATTTGAAATCTTTATGTGTGTGTGTGTGTGTGTGTGTGTGTGTGTATTTAATAGAAAAATTTTGATAAACTTATTTGGTTTTAATGCGGTTGTTGGTTTCATGGTTCTTTTATTGAGCAAACTCATCATTTATTGTTAATTAAAGTAAGTCTCATTATTCTCTTATTTTGTTTAAACCTAATTTATTAGTTACTACCTGTCATATTTTATTTTTAATTATTTATAATTTATAATCTCGATTGAAATGCTACTCACCGGAAAATTCTTTGGTCTCGGATATTATAGATGACCCTATCTGCTGATCGTTGAGGGGTAGTATTGCTTGTTGGACAATGAAAGCACATTCTAGTTATTTTGATGTAAATGTATTGTTTTATGTAATTTAGTGCTCCATGCATATTATAGTTAATTTCTAGTTTTATTTTGCTAATATACAATCTGTTGGTGTGGAGCTAGTCCCCTTTGCTAGATTGTTTGATAGGTTTTGCTATTGTAGAAATTTCAAGAGGTTCAAATTACAAGGGAGACTTTGCTGAAATTTCTAAAAAATATTTAAGATTTTACTAGTTTCATAATTATATATATAAACTAACTATTGATATTTTAGCTTAATCTCTAGTTAATCAAGGCTCAGGAAATATGAGTTTATCTCATATTTCGTGTTAGTTATACTCTTAGTACTGAGGTGTGACATAATGAAATGCCATCTAAAATTTAAAATAGCATTAAATCTTATAACATTTTATAAACATCATAAAACTAAATTTTTAAATGCTATTAAAGCCCATTTTTGTAGTAGTGGTGCTGGATTGGGTGTTGTGAGCTTTACAGTCAAAAAAGCTTGCTTGATAGAGATATGATTTTGGTGGTTGATTGATAACGTAGAACGGGCAGTGCTATGATATTCTGCTGTGTTAGGCTGCTCATATGTCTTTTGTTTCACTTGGTTCCGTTTTGTTTCATGGTTTCTTGTTCAAGGTTTCGAGTGTCTTGTCAGGAAATATGTTCCATTATGGGAGTTTCAGTTGTCTTTGGGGCAATTGATGAAGGTTGGTTTCACTTGGCAATGTTGCCATTTTCTTGATCAGTCTTTGGCCTTGTTTGGGATGAAGGGAAGGAGGATTGGGTCTTGGATTGATATTGGGAAAGCTAATTTGATGTGTTTGGCATGAGAGATTGAGGGTAGCTTGGGATTATTTGGTACCACTTATATGAGATTACTCAAACCCACCTCTCCTTAGCATTGAGAGACCTGTCTTGGGACTGGAAAATTTTGAGACAAACCTGTCCTTGTTTATAATAATTTTTGGACAAAAGTACCCCTCTAAATTTTGTCCTGCGCATCGATCTCCATCGCGATACCTAGCAAAGCACTCGATCTCCATCGTCACAAAGCCCTCACTCCCTAGATCTCCACTAGTCTGTCAAGTACGATGGTGCGGCTGCTGATGGCTGCTGCAAAGCTTGGTGCTTCAATCCCTACATAGGTGGCTATTGCAAAGCTTGGCGCGTCGCCGCAATCAAACAAGGAAACCAGACCGAAAGTCACACTTATGCACGAGATTGGACATGAGAGTGATCTCAGCGTTAGATGAACTAAGGATACAATTTCTTCTTTTAATTATTTTAAAGGGTATTATAATTTTTTCATAATTTATATTTAATTGTAAAATAAAATGAAGGTAAGTATTTTCTGCAAATATTACTCAATACCAAACATAATTTTGAAGTATCATTCCCACTCCCAATCATTAATTATTTTTTTATTAATTTAATATTTAATATTTAATTTATTTAATGATTTTAAACTTGCTATGTTATTATTAATTATTAATTTAATTATTACCTAGGAGAATGGGCAAAACCAACCTTGATGTTGACGGGGGGCCAATTTTTTTTAAAAAAATATTATACTCTTCTATTAATAAATATAAGATATTTTTAATCGAATCATACTTCTTAATAAGTTAATTAATTATGTTTAAAGTGATATCATCCTTTTATATTTATCCTTATTTAATAGGATTAAAAGTATTTAAAAGAACTCATTAATTATGCATTGAAAAGCCAAAAATTCTTTATATTTTTAATGGAAGGAGTATTTACATATATAAATTGTTAATTTGATTTTTTATATTCTTTATAATTATCGTTTAAAAAATAATTTACAAATTTTAAAACATCATTATAAATTGATGATTAAAAAAATAGGAGATAATCAAATTTTATATAATCATAAACCAATTTAGAAACTTTAAAAATATGTGGTAAACATATTTAAACTAGTCTTATTAATACTAATTTCAGATTGAATAAAAATGAATGATTAACTCATCTGCACTGATAATTAATTAACCATACAATAAAAGAGGAAAGAATACAAGAATAAACTAAATTTACAAACAACTTGGAATCATGAATTCCAATTTATTTATTTATCTTGACCTGGAAATGCATTCCAGTTTAAGTACCTTCAATTCAGCAAGAATCTCATCAGTGCTTCTCCCTGATGCACAAATGATGAATATAAACCTCAATCTTTGTCTACAGCAACAATTCCATTCATATAATTCCTGCAACAGTCAAACGGGCCATATTTAGGTGACTAGCATTCATTTATAATATATAAATTGTGTAAATGTCAGTTAGTTTGTGAAATAATATTTCCAACAATAAAGACAATAGATACGTTATCTGACGAATCAGCTACATGAGGTTGCAACTTGCAAGTACAAATGAAAAAAGAAACCATATCAAATATTTCAAGCAAGTCATTTCTTCAGGGATTAGCCGACTTTCTAGCAAATGACAAACAGAAACTAGATCAAAAATTTTATGTGCACTGATCTATGGAGTAACTTGATAGCAGAGGTCAGTATTCATAAAATTTGAAGAAATATGAGACAGCGATTAACTAGAACTTCTAGCTTTTAAATGAAAGCAATAAGCAAGCCTGTAAGTAGTACCCGTAGCAGCAGCTAAAGCAGTTGATTGTCTTACCCTCTCATCTTGCCGTCGTCATCGCCGATCTCGAACGCCTGAACCTTTGTTTTCCATCAAGCATCATCTCGGCTATTTTCCTCGCAGATGTACATTACCGAGTATTAATTCATGCGGTTGATTTACGCTCGTAACTGGTGACCGACCAATAGGAGAGGCAGTAAAAATTCTGGGCTTTCTGGCTTATCATACTCCATCAGCGTTGTCACAAATGAAGAATACAATAAAAAAAGACGAAGGAGGAAAATAAAGAAAGAAAAATGACGAGCAAAAAAAAAAAAAAAAAGCATGCAGGAATACCTCGACAAGTAGAAAATGGAGTGAACTTAAATGAGGTCATGTATTTGGCCAAATAATAATAATAATAAATGGGGTCATGTCCCTCGCCAATGGCAGAAGGAATCGATGGCGTTCATCATCGGCAAGACAAGGACAGTGGACCGATCGTTCTCGTATTGTTGGGGACGTTAACAGAGATGAAGTTTGGTTGTGCCAAGGAGGAGGAGGTTTTGTGAGAGAAGGATGGGGAGGGAATTGGCTTCGGGATGGAGTTGGGATGCAGACTGCGAAGCTGAAGGAGAGAGGGGGAATAAAACAAGTGATAAGAGAGAAGTGAGCGAGTTCGACTTGGCTTCTCTCCTCCGCGGGATCCCACCGCAGTCCAAATTTATTTTTTATTTTTATATTTATATTTTTTTATAAAAAATTTAATAAATTTACCTATCAATTTAAACAGTTCAAACTTAATATAAATAAGTTATATTTAATATTAAAATTTTTAATAAATTAACTGCACTGTTCAAAATATATCTGAATTATTTAAATTATATATGAAATATCGATTTAAATTTTTAATATTAAATTTAGACTATCCACGTTGGATTTGGACTATTAAATTGATGAAAAGATTTATTGAAATTTTTTTAATATTTTTAAGAAGACTCAAATGCCATAAATTTGACTTATGGCACGGAGCTCAAGGTATACTGTTGAGAATAGTGTATCTACAGATAACACTATAAGATGAATGCAATATTCCAAAAAATGAATAACACTATTTTTGCATTAAACCAAATGGATACAAATATCCAGTATTTATACAAACAAATTTCAAGGCAAAATACAACAATACCCTCACTAACTAATAACAAACTAAATCAACAAATCATATGAGACAATTACATATCTTCAACACTCCCCCTCAAGTTCAAACTATCATGTAATTTCTTTCCCAATGGTTTTGTTAGAACATCAGCCTCCTGTTCTGCTGAACAAACATGGTGCAGAGAAATAATCTTCTGCTGTAATTTCTCTCTAACGAAATGACAATCCACTTCTATATGTTTTGTCCTTTCATGAAAAATAGGATTATTTGCTATATGAATGGCAGCCTTGCTGTCACAATACACCTTTACTAGATCTACATTCTGAAAACCCAGATCCTTCATTACCCCTAAAACCCAGATAACCTCTAAAATAGCAACACTAAGTGCTCTATATTTAGCTTCATCCGAAGACTTGGAGACAATTTCTTGCTTCTTTACCTTCCAGGAGATTAAGGAGTCTCCTATTTTCAGCAAATAGCCAGAAACTGACCTCCTTGTAGTATGACATGCTGCCCAATCTGAATCACAGAAGCACCTCAACGTTGTACTGTGTCTCGAGCTTAAAAGTATTCTAAGTCCTAGGTTACTCTTCAAATATCTCAACACATTCTTTGCAGCTGCCATGTGAGCCTTCATTGGAGTTTGCATGAATTGGCTCAAACTTTGCACAGAGAGAGAAATGTCAGGACGCGTCATTGTTAAGTATATTAACTTACCAATAAGTCTCCTATACTCCCCAGGGTCTTTCAACAGCTCTTCTTCTTGTTTCTTCCCTCCTCATATGCAGTGAGCCTCAAATTAGAAGCCATAGGTACTGTCAATGGCCTACAGCCACTCATTCCTGTCTCAAATAGCAAGTCTAAAACATATTTTCTTTGGTTCATAACAATACCCTTTTTAGAACGTGCCACTTCAATTCATAAGAAATACTTTAACAGACCAAGATCCTTTATCTTAAATTTCCTGTGTAAAAATTCTTTAGTTTCTTTAATCCCAGATTTAAAACTCCCAGTGATCAAAAGATCATCAACATACACAAGGATCAAAACAACACCATCATCAAAATGCTTAGAAAACAGTGAGTAATCATGCATGCTTTGATTGTAACCACCAAATTTCAATGCTTGTGTTAGTTTATGGTTCCATTGCCTAGAAGCTTGTTTTAACCCATACAAGGATTTATTAAGTTTACAAACTTTATTCTCCCCCTTATTGAGGAGACCTAGTGGGATAGTCATATAAACCTCTTCATTAAGATCACTTGTAAAAATGCATTAAAAACATCCATTTAATCAGAGACCAATTACGTTGAGCAGCCAAAGAGAGTACAATTCTAACAGTCACCATTTTTACCACAGGGAAAAAGTCTCTTGATAGTCTATCCCCTCCCTTTGGCTAAACCCTTTTGCTACCAGTCTAGCCTTATACCTTTCTACACTCCCATCAGCTCTATGCTTGATCTTATAGACCCATCTAGAACCTAAAGGTCTTTTACCCTTAGGTAAATCCACTATAGTCCAAGTTTTATTTTCTTTTAAGGCCCTAAGTTCATTGTTCATAGCTTCCACCCATTTCTTATTTTGTACAGCTTCTTGATAATTCCTAGGCTCAATGTCATTATCAAGGGATAACAGAAAGCATTTATGTGACGGAGATATATAATCATAAGATATATGAGATTGAATAGGATATTTAACTTTAGAAACAACAGCAGAACAGACGTAATCTTTAGCCCATATAGGGGGCCTTCTCTCCCTGGCCGGTCTTATTCTTTCTTGCTCTAAAGTAGGGTGTTCAATCAAGTTATCTTCTAAAATATTGTGTGGTTCTCCTAAATCATTATTATCTGAACATTTTTCTGTAATGGGCTAAGTAGTTCGAAATTTATCATGCATTTTTTATACTTGCAATGAATCAAAATCATGCCAAAATACATTGTCAAATGACTGTTTTGCCTCATTTTGTACTGAATTTCCAGCATCTTTAAAAGGAAACTTGTTCTCAATGAAATTAACATGTCTAGAAATAAAAAAAATGCTTACTCTGTAAATTTAGTAAAATAAATCCCTTCTGACCCTTTGGATATCCCAGGAAAACACATGGTTCAGATCTAGATTGAAACTTGTCATTAACAGTTAAATTTGTAGAGAATGCTAGTGAATTGAAAACTCTCAGATTAGTAAAATCAGGAGTTTTCTGATAAACGATTTCATATGGGATTTTAAACTGTGAAATCCTAGATGGCATTCTATTTATCAGATATGTAGCCATCTGGATGCATTCTCCCCAATACTGAATTGGCAAAGCTAATTGTGAAATAAGACATCTTGAGACTTGTAAAAGACTTCTATGTTTCCTCTCTACAACCCCATTCTGCTCAGGTGTATAAGGACACGTAGTTTCATGTAATATACCTTTACTTTCAAGGAAAATTCGTAGTTCATTATTAATGAGTTCCTTTCCATTATCAGTCCTAATTCTTTTAACGTGAATAGCAAATTGATTTAAGACATATGCAATAAAATTTTTAATACAGCCAACAGTCTCATGCTTATGTCTCAACAAAAATAGCCAAGTAGCTCTAGAAAAATCATCTACAACAGTAAGGAAGTATTGGTGTCCTTAATGTGTTGGCACCCTATAAGGTCCCCACACATCCATATGCAACAACTCAAAACAGAAAGAGGTTTTAATTGAACTAGAAGAGAAAGGAAATTTGGTTTGCTTGGACTGAATACAAGTATCATAAATTTTATTATTCAAACGAGAATCATCTTTTAGTAAATGTAAATGTCTCATTACAGGAAAGGAAAGATGGCCTAATCTGTAGTGCCATAGCCATTCATCAGTCAAGTCATTGGTAACCACATTTTAAGTAGCATTAGCAGCATGGTTATCAATATTTAGAAAATATAAACCCTCTATCAGCTTACCAGTCGCTTTCATCCTGCCACCCTGAAGGTCCTGCACCAAACAGAGGTTAGCAAAGAAAGCAACAAAACAATTTTCTTCCTTTGTTCACCTAGGAACAAAGACTAAATTAAAACATAATTCAGGTGCATATAAGATATCTCTTAATATTATTCCTCCTATGGTAACATTTCCTGTATGTGTAATTGGAACTCTCTGGCCATTGGGTATTTTAATATGTTTCATAGGACCTGAATATTTTCTATAACAATCTAAAATCCCAAGTCACTCACCATGTGAGTGGTAGCACCAGAGTCTAAAATCCAACAAATTTCAGGCTTAAAAAGGAAGAATTACGTAAAGTTGTACCAGTAAGGGCATGCACATTAGGCTCCGAATCCTTCTTCAACAATTGCAGAATCTGTTGGTACTGCTCTTGAGTGAAGGTGGGTGCCATAATCTGCTCCCCATCATCTGCACCATTAGCAGCTTCAACCTTCTCTGGGCCGACTTGCCTTCTTAAGGGCCGACTTGCCTTCTTAAGGGCGTTTATTTTATTTCCTCGAAAATCTCAGGAGGAAATCCTATGATTTCAAAGCAGTTCTCCTTAGTATGTCCTCCATTTATGACAATGGGTACATTCCAAGGAGGGATTTCCACGTCCTCATCCCCGATTACCACGTCCTTGCCCTCTACCCACAGCCATGGCACTGTCTTCAATCAGTGAAGGCTTATTTACTTCAACTATATTCCTTTGTGCCTCATCTTCCATGATCATACTATAAGCTTGATTTACCATCGGTAGTGGAGTCATTAAGGGATCTGAGATCTAGCCTGGCTATAGGAATCACTAAGCCCCATCAGAAATTGCAGCAAAAGTGCTGCTGCTGTATTACATCAGCATATACTCTCAAGGCTTCACAATGCATGAAGGTATCGCAACTAAAGTAGATTGTTCCTCCAAGCTCCTTAAGCTTAATAAAATAACTGAAACCGAAAGAGATGCTGGGTAAGAGAATTAATCTCTCGATGAATGGAGAAAATTACGAACCTATAACCTTGTCGAATCGTTCCTTCAAGTCAATCCATACGAGATGTGCGCTCTGAGAGAAGGCAATTCCACTAGCTATCTCTTTTGAGACAAGAACTCAACAGCCAAGACAGCACAACAGCGTTACATCGTTCCCATTGATTGTGTGGAGAAAGATCTTGCGATTCTTTCGGAGCAAGATCCATTGACTATGCCTAATTTGTG